AATATTTAGAAATAACGAACAAAAATTAACCAACAAATCTAAATAAACGAGGATAAATAAATATATATTGTAAACTGAATGTTCGTTTTTCTTAGTAAGAAGAGCTTTTAGGTTTTACCTTAATGAAGTAATATTTGATTAGCAAGTCGAATCAATAAAGATAGCAAGTGAAAATATCCAGAAATAACCAATAAATCTAAATAAAGGAGGATAAATAAATACATATTTTAAACTGAATATTCGTTTTTTTTTAGTAAGAAAAGTTTTCGCTTTTACCTTAATAAAGTAATGTTTGATTTTCAAATTGAAGAAATACAGATAACAAGTGAAAATATCCAGAAATAATCAACAAAGTTTAACCAACAAATCTAAATAAAGCAGGATAAATAAATATATATTTTAAACTGGATATTCATTTTTTTTAATAAGAAAAGTTTTGGCTTTTACCTTAATAAAGTAATGTTTGATTTTCAAAATGAAGAAATACAGATAACAAATGAAAATATCCAGAAATAATCAGCAAAGTTTAACCAACAAATCTAAATAAAGGAGGATAAATAAATGCATATTTTTAACTGAATATTCGTTTTTTTTTAGTAAGAAAACTTTTGGCTTTACCTTATACTAAAGTAATGTTTGAATATGAAGTTTAATCAACAGTGTGAACACGTGAAAATAATCAGAAATAAACAACAAAAACTAATCCACAAATCTAAATAAAGAAGGATAAATAAATACACATTTTAAACTGAATATTCGCTTTCCTTAGTAAGAAAAGCTTTGGGTTTTACCTTGGTAAAGTAATGTTTGATTAGCAAGTTGAATCAATAAAGATAACAAGTGAAAATATCCAGAAATAGTCAACAAAGTTTAACCAACAAATCTAAATAAAGGAGGATAAATAAATACATATTTTAAACTGAATATTCGTTTTTTTTTAGTAAGAAAAGTTTTCGCTTTTACCTCAATAAAGTAATGTTTGATTTTCAAATTGAAGAAATAAAGATAACAAGTGAAAATATCCAGAAATAATGAACAAAGTTTAACTAACAAATCTAAATAAAGCAGGACAAATAAATATATATTTCGAACTGAATGTTCGCTTTCTTAGTAAGAAAAGTGTTCTCTTTTACCTTAATAAAGTAATGTTTGATTAACAAGTTGAGTAAATAAAGATAACAAGTGAAAATATTTAATAATAACCAACAAATCTAAATAAAAGAAAATAAACAAATACATATTTTAAACTGAAGGATTAATTTTTTTTTTGAATACGAAATTTTTTTTGCTGTACCTTACTAACGAAATGTTGGATCACCCAATTCAATAGCAGAATACTGAAGAACAAAACGATTAAAAACAAAAGACAAAAGCGACTAGTTTAGTAAACTGAGAACGAGAACTGAAAATGGAATTCCACGCTGTAATCAATATATTCTAAATGGTACACATTGGACTTATATTTGATTGGTTATTTCTCTGAGGAGTAATTTCCAACGTACAGCAGCGACATTAACAGGTAGAGCAGAGTGCACCGAAATAGTGAAAAGATGAATATGCTTTTGTAACATACAAATGTATAATAATCTGTGATTGATTGAGAATAGAAAATCAATAAATAAATGAAAGTCGCAATAGTTTTATTGATTATTGAATCTTTTATTGGATCAAATGTTTGTTTCTACTCGGTTGCAATGCTTTAAATAATTCATTCGGTATATACAATATCTTTATGCATTGTTTCCAGTATTTCAGCGTTAGTTTAATTTTTTTACAATTCTAAACACATAGAACAGCCGATAAACAGAGACCAAAATGTCCTTGTCTTACTTTCTTGAGTGCAGAATATTACCAATTTATCTTTCGAGACTCAGCTAATCAGTGTCTGGATTCGATAAATAAATTTGACATTATCTGTATAATCAATTGATTCCGCTATCCAGTAATCTTTGTGTGAATTATGCATTATATATTTTTTTAGGCATTTCTTCAATATTTTCCTAATTAGGCCTCCAATTTTTGCTGCTCAGCTTTAATGCATTTTGTTGTATCGTTGTGTCGATGAGTGTTCTCTAGTAAAACATTATAGCGAACAGTGGAACATTCCTAGTCAAACGAATAAATAAGAAATTTTCGATGGAATACATTATGGCATATGCTTTTAAACGAAGCAGAGCGATCCAGCCATAGCTTACTAGAACTTGAACAGTCTTTACACGAGAACTGATAAAACCTAAGTCATTTTGCGAAACTATCGTTGACGTTGTGCAATGAAAGAGAGCATTTAGCTAACTGACAAAACCATGAGTGGCTATCCAGAACATCAAAACATTCCGTATTTGTTATTCAAAACTTCCGATGATTTTGTAAGTGTGATATAATGGTTTCGTGTATATTGTACGAAACCAATAATCGTTGTGTATATACAGTACGAAACTACCGCTAGTTCCGTAAGTGGTAAAATAGATTCGTATACATTATACGAAACCATTGATAGTTCCATAGTATATCTAAAAGTTCCGAGTATAGAACACGAAACTATCCTTAGTTCCGCATCTAGTAAAATGGTTCCGTAGAAATTTTACGGAACTATTGATGGATTCGCAATCTGTATTTTGGTTCCGGCCACATTCTACGAAACCATTGATAGTTTCGTAGAACATCTAGAGGTTCCGTATGTAGAATCTGGAACCATCCTTAGTTCGGCAAGTAGTAAAATGGTTCCGTAGAAATTGTACGGAACTATTGATGGATTTGCAATCTTTATTGTAATTCCGGACACATTCTACGAAACCATTGATAGTTTCATGGAACATCTAGAGGTTCTGTATATAGAATCCGAAACCATCCTTAGTTCCGCATCTAGTAAAATGGTTCCATAGGAATTTTACGGAACTATTGATGGATTTTCACTCTTCATTTTGGTTCTGGACACATTCTACGAAACCATTGATAGTTTCGTGGAACATCTAGAGGTTCCGTATGTAGAATCTGGAACCATCCTTAGTTCGGCAAGTAGTAAAATGGTTCCGTATAATTTGTACGGAACAATTGATGGTTTCGCAAAAATTATTATGGTTCTGTACACAGTATACAAAACCATTGATGGTTTCGTAAAGCATCTAAAGGTTCCGTATACGTGATACGAAACCATCGATAGTTTCCTGAATGATGCAATGGTTCGGCATATCTTTACGGAACCATGCATAGTTTCGTAAATGTAGGAAAGGTTTCGGAGACATTTTACGAAACCATTGATAGTTTCGAAATGCATACAATAGTTTCGTGTATTTTATACGAAACCATTAAAAGCTTCGTCATTTATCTGAAGGTTTTGTATATATGTCACAAAACCATTGGCAGTTTCGCAGAGCATCTAAAGGTTTCGTATTAGTTCTACGAAGCCATTCATAGTTGCATAAATGCTCTAATAATTACGGAAAGGTTGTACGAAACTAGCCATGGTTTCGTAAAAGATATACCGAACCATTAGATCATTTACGAAACTACGAAAAGTTTCGTATAGTGCATGCCG